AGTCCTCTGGCCTTCATCAGCTTTACACATATATATATATATATATAGATAGATAGATAGACAGACCTTGGCACTAAGTGTTAGATATATATAACATACTTATTGTTATTATTAATATGCAATGAAACTTTAAGCTGATGTTCAAACACTGTAACGAATACACAGCAAGCATAGGCAAACAAAAGACAAACAACTACATAACAAAACCAAGGCCAACCTTTTCAGATTTCTTCCCCTGAAAACAAAATATTTAACATTAAATAACAAGATCATAGCAGACATAAAATTATTTATAAATAACTATTTCTAAAGTTATATCTATTGACATATTCATTCATATAACCAACAATACCTTGTTCAACCTACCTTTTTCAAACACCAAGTGAAACTTGAATCATTGTACATACAACACAAAAGAATATCCAAACCACAGTGATTTAGCATAGACTGGTTACCAACAAAAAACACTTTTTGTTTATATCTTTAGAGGTTGTCCTATTCTATGCATGGTGCCGTATGATAAAAAACAATGTAATTGTAAAGAGAATGTAGACTTACTGTTGCCATGGCTAACGTTAATGCCTCGTCATCACCTCCTCCATCATCCTCATTTTTCTTCATCATGTTTTTGGCACCTGATGCCATTTTCTTAAATCCCTTCATCGTGGCCTTTTTCAGATCAACTTTGGGTTTCTTAGGCTTTTTAAATTCATCTTCATCATAAACTATAACAGAAGGATGTTGGCCAATATGAGTATTAACAATACAATAAAAATAACAATAGTTATTATTATTATTATTATTATTATTATTATTATTATTATTATTATGTTACTAAAACCTATTCTAAGGGGAACGTAGACAATGGAGAAATTAGAGAACAATTAAAAAAAACAATGTTAAGGGGAAAATAACACAAAAGATATTCCCCTTAAGTCCGACTTACCGCATATTATTATTATTATTATTGTTATTATTATTATTATTATTATTATTATTATTATGACAATAACTACAACAACTATTATTATTATTGTATAAATAAACTATAGCAGAAAAATGTTGACCAATATATGATTATTAACACTATACTAATAATAATACAGTAGTTATTATTATTATAATGACAAAAACTACTTCTATTATTATTATTACTCTTGTTGTTGTTGTTGTTGTTGTAATAAAATAGCACTCTTCCACTAAACGTATTCATGTTCACTTCAAAATGCTGCACCAATGAACCAGCCAGAATATATCATTGCACCATCTTTCCAATGCTCACTATCAGGAATTATGGTGGCATGTTATCTTCAGCAATAGTTTTAAATGTCTTCTTGATTGACAACATCTTCATCAATTATTACAAACAAATTGTCAGGTATGCTTAGTCTTAAATTTAGACATATCAATAGTTCCAGTTTTTCTTCTCTTGTAGTCTATCATTGGAAGGATCAATTTCCCATGTCTTCTGAGCTGTGCTTCTCAATGATAGCTTTGCGACATATTATCACATTTTAGAATCACTTTTTTCTTTAAAATTCAATTAGTATGTTTAGTACCATGATTTTCCTGGTAGCAACACTAGGTTGAGCAGCACATAGCAACAAATGTAAAACTCCGCAGAGTGCATATATCTGCCCTGTGGCTGAATACAGTACCAACAATACGCAGCTGTCTATGATGGGCGAACCGGTAGCACCATTGTATTCAAAGCACATTGTTTTCTTGAACGCTGCCGGAATATGAGGAGCAATTCCATTATTTCCTTTTATGCTTGAGGGTAGAAGATAAAAATTTCTGTGACCTTGTCCTTTGACCTTTCTTCCATAAATGGAACGGTGTCTTTCTTTCGAATATATATGTACCATTCCACTAAATTTTACGATGAACCATTTATTAGTTTTTTCGTATCATCATGCTAACAGACAGACAGCAGTAACGTAGTTACATTGGTTACAGTCTGGCCGAAAGTGAGCATAATTGACTGAAAAGGTCAAGAAGTTTACAAGAGCAATTGGACAAACTTGCTTACCTGATCCTCCTTCATCCTCCCCAAATTCTCTGTCATCAAGGGCACGGTTGTCAAACTCATCAATATTGTTCAAATCAAAACCACCATCATCAACTGCATCCTCACCCTCAGCATCGCTACCTTCAGCATCCTAATATGAGGAGGTAATATCAATTTTTAATCATCATACAAACAAATATGAATGTCTAGGTAGGCTATGGTTGGAAAGTATCCTCCTTCAACAAAAATGTTATAGCCCCCCCCCCACCCAGTGGCAGTACGAGTTGGGGGAAGGAAGTTTATGTCCATCACTAGATAGCCCAAGCCTACCATTGTTTAATTTTTTGGATATGCTCTAATGTCTCAAAACAGCTAAAGAATGGCTCAAGATACCCAGTTTGTGTAAGTAAAGCGAGTTCAGCCCCAGACCTGATAATGGTCATTAGGGTCACCTTGTTGACCAACAGGTCCATCCCTCTACCAGCTGTAAATCTAACACTAACATTAAGCTAAATGCCTAGTCAAAAAGTGTTGCTGTGTAAAAGTCATTATGTTATGCTACTTACCACATTCATCAATTTCTTTGTTGCAAAATACCTAGTCCACCAATCTAATGACTCCTCGTCTTGGTCTTTAGCTCCTCCATCTCCTCCTGGTGGTGCAGGGGCTCCTCCTTCACCTCCCCCATCCCCAGGGGCCTAGAAAAGAGTATCAAAGTAAACAAATATTTCAATTTACATCCTGATTTCTGTTGGTATAAAATTATTATTTTGACAGGATGTACACAAATATTTAAATAAATATTTTATGAAATTATCTAAATTATATTTATTCAAAATGTTTTTGCTCATGAAAAAATTTGCCATGGTCATGTGAAAAACATATTCCAAGTTAAAGTACATACATCCATTGTAGTTCCATTTATACATACATGGATTAGCCTACTACGTAACTGGACAAGCAAGTATCAAAATTCCCACCTGGGATGGAGGTGCATCGCCTCCTGCTGCAGCAGGTGGCTGTCCTGGTGTAGGTGCTGGCCTACCGGGTTCTTCTGGTGTGCCTCCTTCACGCGTTTCTTCTGGAATCCCAATGGCTATATCGTCTCCTTTTACGGACTGTGCCCTGATAGACTGTGCTTTGATAGACCCAGCTTTGATTGATTCTGCCCTTATGGACAACGCCTTTTCCGAGTAGTGGCTTTTTATCGAGTTGCGTCGTGATACGCTCTTATTTGAAATCACATCCACTGCCAGATTATCAACACTCATGTTTAATGAAATCTATTTTATAAATATTTGTGGATAAAGGAACATATCATTTATTAAGTTCACCATAATTATAACATATATATTATAAAATAGTATTTGGGAATGTACTGATTATTCCGTACGATAACACGTCAGGTAGGGCAAAACATCACTCCTACATAAAATAACAATTATGTCTGCAAATTAACAAATTTGATTAGATTCCTAAGCTGTATTTAAACAGTATCAATGTACTATATATATTTATAGTAGTAGTATGTAGTGTAACACTATAAGGTTTATTTTTTTTTTTTTGGTTTTGAACTTTTTGCTATCTCTGAACTTTATATACAATTGACGTATATTTTCTTTTGTTGAAAAATTGAAATATATAAAATCACATTCAATAGGAGGTAAAGAAAATCAAATCATAGCAAAACAAAATAAAGACCAACAAAGCAAAAATCTACCTGATCACTAATTACACCATTTGGTGGGCCATTCATTTCCGGAATCAACATCTGTGTGTCGTCCAGTCCAGCCACATACGAACCATTCCGAGAGGGGGCAATAGACCCGGAACGTGACTGAGCACGTGAACCAGGACGAGAGCCAGCATGTGAACCTACGTAAGATCCTCCTTCAACATTATCTATCTCGATAATTGCTGAGGAAATAGAATAAAACAAGGGTACAGAAAGTTTGTTAAAATATTTGGACGCCTTATATTTTTGTCTGGTTTGAGAGATAATTACAATATGTACAATATGACAAAAACATGAAGAGACAAAAATGCACAAGAACACACACACATTTAAATATAAATATAAATAGATAAAAAAAAAAATCAATCACCATATAATCAACTTGTCATTGGGTATAATAGGAATACTATGTTATCACTATTAATATACTAGAGGATGCAAATACATTATTTAGCAATTATTGTTAATTAATTCTAAAAACTATGACAATTCTACAGAAAACAACAAACTGAAACCTGCTACTGAGCATTTTCCCTGCTATTTGACTAATGCTATTATGGTAGTACATATAAGTAAATAATCATTGACCATTTTCAATATTTTATTCAACCAAACTGCCTTTCATAAAACTCTATTAATAGTAAATAGAAAGATTTACTTCATTATAACATGTTTTTAAACCCTTCTGATAAAGGTACCATCACCATGTTATCAAATACAAAGATATGTCATAGTTATTAAGGATATTATAGTTATTTAAAAAACCATATATGCAAATAGTATATCACTTGTATTTCATTTTTTAAAAAGGTAGAAAAGGAGGTAAGAATAAAGGATCAGAACAGTGTGCTGAAAGAAGGTCAATGCAGAATGATATACTGTAGTTCCAATAGTTATAAAAACAATTTCTACCAAAAAAGTATTAGGATAAGGGGAGGGTGTATTTGGTTAAGGGGAGGGTTGATTTGATACCTGCTATTCCCCCATTCTCTTCACCCTCTTCTTCAGGACCAAGTAGGGCTAACAGGGAGAGAATATTTTGTAACAAGTGTTCAAGGTAATGTGGATTTGTACCATTAAGATAAAAAATGTTTATAATTTCTTGTTTACATTTCATTTTGTTAAAACAATTATAAAATAGGCCTAATTAAAATCATAGAATCTGGATGACTGAGAAACTATGTCTTTATTAACAAACAAAATACTTATACTGTGAAGATTATTCCATATCAAATAAATTTTTTTTAAATAATTAATATAATAAGCAATACCTGGTTTCTCTGCCTCTGGTTTAATCATCTTGACTTTGTAATTTGCCAAAGAGTTGACCACATGTGTACCTACCAACGTGAAACGTCCAAAACTTCTGCAGTCAACCACTCGGATTGTCAAAGGTGGACAGTAAATTTCATTTTCAGGAAGATCCTTTTAAGATAAATAATTTTTACATTTGTTTTAAATATTTACATTATTTTCAAAACCTACCAAATGTTTAAGTTTTTTTTCTACAATTTCCACAAAAGAAATGACCAAAATAGTTCTATCAAAATTTACCACAATATGTTTACAATTATATAGTGAAATACATACTCCAAGTATCCAAATGCACGCCATTGTGTTGGGATTCAATATTTCAATATTAATTATGTCATCATCAGGAATACGGCCCACCTGCTCCGAAATCAACGAAACCAACGAAACCAACGCCGGATCCAGCGGAGGGGAAGGACCCGCCGAACGCGAAGCCGACGAATCCTCCAGCGGTGGAGGCGAGTCATCCGGCGCCGCAACAACCCCCGACGCAGCCGGCAGCGAACCCTGAGATCGATTGGCAGCCTGAGCTGCCCAATCTAGAGCCGCCGCAAACTTAGTCGGGGGCCAGCGCACACAAACCTCGCAAGGCTCAGCCTTGCTACACGAGCGACACAACGGGCACTCCGAGTGCCGGTCGAGCTTAACACTCGGTTTAGGGCCCCCACACGCCGAGCACAAAGACTTGCGAGCGGACATGCCGATCGAGACTACAAAAACAAAGGATATCTTGTCAAGTTGAAAATAAATCCAAGGCAAAATAAGACAGAATAGCTTGAAAAGACTGCTAGAAATTTCAAAGGCTGGGTTTATCCAACTTCGAACAACGTCGAAAAGGGAATGAGGACGTTTGTTAGGGAGACGGTTCGCACGTGGCGCCTTGGGTCGGTCTGTTCCATTTTTTTTCGAAGGGGTGTTCCGTTTTGGGAACAATGGCAATTAGTCGGTTATCCAGGTAAGTATTCACGAAATAGACTCACAATTAGTGTTTAAAATTAATAACTAACAATTTCTAACAAATGTTGGGAAGTTTCAAACATTTGTAAATAAAGTCTACTACATAAAAAATATATGCAAATGAAAGGTTCACAATAGGTAGTGTTTAAAAATTTAACTAAAAATAATTTTAGTATAATTCAAAAAAATTTAAACAAAATTTACCACATCCAGGAATTTCACATTGTCTGTAAAGTTTGGATTTTTGTTTGCATTGAAAATGACTGCAGATGAGATTACATGACCTGCACATTCTATGTCCACTTTTGGTCTGTCCACTTTTGTCAATTGAAGTCTCTTCATTTCACGCACTCCCCAAAACATAAGCTGGAAAAAGAAGGTTTGAAAATCTTTGCCATGTACTAATAGTGCTTTGTTACCTCTCCCGAAAGGAGGTTATGTATTCAACGCCATCTGCCTGTCTGTTAGCAAAATTACACAAAAACTAATGAATGAATCATCGTAATTTATTGGAATGATACATAATAATTGTGAAAAGACATCATTCAATTTTTGGAAGAAAAGGTCAAAGGACAAGGTCACGGTCACAGAGACTAAATTTTTTTTTACCTCGAGCATAAAAGAAAATAATGGAATAGCACCCATCATACACGACTTGATTATAGTTCGGTTTCAGGCACAGGGAGGAGATATGCACTCTATGGAGCGACTGCTTTAATTTAGCCATTTGATGAGCAACCTAATTATGTTAATATGTACAGTAGAACTACTCTACAAACACACGAATAACTACAGTAGAACATCATCACTATTATAGAATAAATCATTTTGTAATAAGTATGCCTACCTCAATTCTGAACCGTGACATTACTGGCTTGATTTCCCTGGGTACAGCCATGATGGTGTTTTTGTTAGTGCCAGCATCAGCAGGAACTTCAATAGCAGGTACTCCTTGAGGTAATTCACCCTCAGCAGTTAGCTACAACCAAAGAAATGAGGATGGAAAATTCATATCAATAGATAGATAGATTTTAAAATTTATATAGCGATGGTTAAACCAAAGTTGTTACTACTGAGCGCTTTACAATGAATTACAAAATAAAGAGCAAAATACAATAAAGTAATAAAATAATAATAATACAGTAACAATAATTATAAAATAATAAAATAATAATAATAATAATTAAATAATAATAATAATAAAAATAATGAAGTAATGAAAATAAAAATTTTTCAAATTTTTGTATCTACTGGGGTGGATTTCGTGTGAGGAGGGGGGTTCCCCCTGCACTTTTGGAGAGCTTATTAAGAAATTATTGATTGCCAAAAATGCTTCACAGGTTATTTTTTTAAAAATTCCCAGGGGCATGGGTAGTGTTGCCTCTTAATCAGCCCCCACCCCCTCTTTCGGACATCTCTGGATCTGTCCCTGCCTTATATATTAAATGTAATATTATGCATTTCACATTACAATTACATTAGATTTAATCATTGATTACAATAATTTAAACTCACTATATAAAACATAATGCTTTTCCATATCTTTTGGATAATAAAAAATGACTTGAATGTTTTACCAATTATACATCAATATTCTCAATTTGATATTTATAAACACAACTCCATTTACATATGTTTATCCCTGACCTCTCACCAACCTCAATCATTTCTATTGCACATAATATTTCCCCTGCCGGTGTCTGCCCACGATAAATGTTATACCAAGCCAGCATGGGGGGGAACCTTGGTTTACAGTATACATCATCTGGTAGTTTGATCACAGGTTTCACTAATGCTCGTCCAATAAATTCTGTTCCACCCTTTAAAATAATACAGAAGAAATTTAAGTATGAAATCAAGCAAAATATGCTTTTCTATATTATTTTATTACTGATGACAATTACGTATTTGTTGGCAATTCTTATTGTGTTTTATAATGTGGTTTGAATACTACTTGAAAAGTGATAAAGAGTGCAATTGTTTTAAATGAAGTTTAGGGATGGTTGCATTGACAAAAACCTGGTACCTTAAGAATGGCATTTTTACCAAATAACCCTACCTCATTTAACTACAATAAGATATATATATATATATATATATATTGGTTTTACCATAAACAGATCTATAGAGTTCAATCCCCCAAGACATAATAGAACAGTCAAATTCACAGGAATGTGATTGGTCTGAGACTCTGAAACAAATCACTGATAGGCCAAATGTTTTATTTAGTGAAGCAGACCTACTGGTATTTGGAGGCAATACTCTGTCCTTTGCAGTAACAATTTGGAATTAAAGGTTGTTCGGTATTTGAACTTACCCCAAGATCTTTGTCAAAGACCTCCACTGCAATGGTTGGGGGATCATCCTTCATATCCTTCTTGTTACCATAGACAACCACTTGTTCAAAAAGTAGCAATTCATCCCAAGTTGGCGATAGTGTTTCCTCGATGACCTTAGAAGAAAATTATTCAAAAATATTTAAAAATTCTCACTAGAGGTTAAATAACAAAATGTAACTAAATAACTTTAAAAATGACTGAAAGAAATAATGTTCGCTTTTAAATTACTGGAGTTGTTTCCCAATGCCAGTCCAGATTTTATTTGTATTTTCAAAGATAACTTTCATATAAAATAATGACTCGATACTGGGTAAGTAATAAGATGATCAATTTGGCATATAGTTAGGTGGATGGTTAAAATGCCCAAAATTTATCCACATGATCCTGGGTTAAAAATTAGTTAAATATCAATATTCATACCCATATTAAAAACAACTTTAGCCTCAAATCAATGCATCATTTAAACCTGATGGGAAATTCTGTATACCATGTTGGAGAAAATAAAAACATTATTAACCTGTGTTTCTCTGATTTGGTCACCAAATATAACTCTTGCAAATGGATCCGAAAGCCCAGAATCATCAGAACCAATGATACTCCTCGCCTGGTACATATGGCATCGCAGCTGGTAGCAGTGTCGCTCTATAAGCATTTTTAAGTAATATACAATATGTTATGTGTATATATATTATGTAAATAAAATATATTAGACATAAGCATATTACCATAATTACATACAGACCTGCTATATAGTGATCAACACAAACCAGTTAACAAATTGTAACACCAGTATCAATATTACAATCCTCATGTATAAGTGTTATGCCAGGATTTTGATATATATTATGATGCAAAATACTTTAGAACAAATAATAATAATAATAATAATAATAATAATAATAACAATAACAATAATAATAATAATAATAATAATAATAATAATAATAAGTATCTTTTACACATCATGAAACAAACTTAACTATAAAATATACAACTAAACAAGAACTACTTACAAAAATAGAAACTAAAATGAAAACAAAAAAGCAAATTGATGGAATAAAACCAGAAACATTAGCATCATAATATGCTGAAGTGCACAACTTACCTTTGTAAGTGATTAGCAGCGGTGGTATGCCTGAAGGCTTCATAATCGACTTCACTTCCTTGGACTGCTCATAGCCTGTTGGAAGGCCTTTCATCACATCACGTCGATGTTTGTTAAGGCCTAGCCACAGGTACACATCAAGCTTAGCCTGTACTGACCATCCTTCAGGTCCTGAAGCCTTTTTGCCTGGAAGCTGCAATTAATATCATTATCATCAGTGTTGTTGTCATCGCTATTGTCGTTGTCATTGTCGTCTTTGTTTTTATTGCCATTACCCCCACCATCAAGACCATCATCATTGTTTTTGTTGCTATTATAAAATGTTAGGTAGCGCCTCATGCAAAAACATCTCAAAGAGTTTTTGTTTCTGGATGCAATTTTTAAAAAATTTCTTTTCAAATTCATAAAAGCTCTTGAAGATGTGTTTATGTACAGTAAATTAAACAGCATTTGATTAGTCAGTCATATATTATTATTTAAGAAACAAATGTATCCACAATTGTTTAAGGTGTATGTATAATACGTGTACCTCAAAAAATAACTTACTCTCAGAAACAGTGTGTTGATTTTGCCACAGTATTCTCCTTTTTCCTCTGCAACTACTGAATACATGAGCTTACGTGACGGAACACGGCAGTAAGCAGTTCGCTTTCCTCCGCACAACATCCATATAAACAAGTCTGGCAAACAATGTTGTGGCTAAATAAAGAGAACAAGTAGGTATTCATATAAAAGGTTCCTTAAACTTGATTTTTTTAAAGGCTGAATGGCTATTTTGCAAATCAAGTAAAATTCATTGATTTTGATTATACTATAAGTCCAACCATGGATGTATAAAATACTGTAGACCAACAAATATGGTGCAGCATCTTTAATGTTGGCCATCACAGATGTTGTAACATATTTGATGTTGGCCTTCAAAGATCATTTGGTATCTTTGATTTTGGCCATCACAGATCATGTGGCATCATTGTTGCTGGCCATTAAAGATCGTATGACAATTATTACGCTACTGCTAGTGTTTGAAATGGGGATAAGAGAGAAAAATTAGATCCATTGACTAAGCTGCTTCACGTGCACATACAGCACTACCAAGTTACCTCAGCAGCAAGGTGCTTAATCCGTTGCAGTAGTGATTTGGCAAGTTTCATCTTCTCCCTCATCTCCATCACTGTCGGTTTTCGGAACTTATCTAACCTCATCTTTCCAACCTTCCTCCGCAAATGGTTCTAAATTAAGAAGATGTAAAAATTGATTTTAAACAAAATATAAAATAAGATTTGCCATAAACAAATTTTGCTTTTAATACATGAAGAGTACATGGAGCAAATATATGGCAAGAACATGGCATATATACAATCTTACTTATAAGCACATCACTGCTAATCTATTTTCTTTATTTAATACCATAATATATATATAATTATATTAATAAAAGTACTTTTACATATCGTTTTTCATCAATAGTCTAATTTAAACAAATATTTTGACCAGTGGTTATGGATGTCAACTGGTGTTAATAAGCCTCAAATCCCATTTCATCTCCAGTAAGTTAGTCAAACCAATTACATAATAGAGTATCTTCAATTAAATCTATCTAAAAAAGCATGTATTAAATATTTAAAAAAAAAACCTAAGAAGCTCAGATAATATGTTTTCAATTCTGCTTGTCAGTAAAATACATTCAGGTTATTAAGTCCACTGTTAGAAATAGTATGAAGAAATAAGGTGCATCAATTGATCAATCAATAAATAAGTAATTTTATTAATTTAATGAATTAATCTATCACAATCACAACTTTTATATATTTAATCATTCATTTTTGAATGAAAAATATATTTGAAAATTGATATTTGCTGGCATATAACTTGTAAACCTAGCACTTAATGTGTAGAACTATGTACATCTATTTAGTATAATTATGTAAAAAGAAAGTTAAACCTGATTCATCAAGACTCTAGTATAGATATAGATAAGAATACATTTTCAAAGAATTTTAAAGTGTGCAAAAGAATGACTGAAACTGTTAAGCAAATCACACACTGTGTACAACCGTGGCTTACGAATCCATCACCACTTTCTTGGCTATTTACGACATGATACCGTTTGCCGATTTTTTATGGCAGACTTTATAGTGGACTGTTATTAAAAACAATCTGCTTGTTCGTGTTTTTTTTCGCTCAGCTGACGATTGTTGGTACAGTGTGTGTCTGGCTTTAGAGAATGCGCACGCATTACTATATATAGTAACAAAATATATAACACAATGATGTTTTGTGTATAAAAGCAAACAGTGTTGGGTTAGTATGCGCAGAAGGTAAGCAGTCCAAATACAATGCTGTGCTCTAGGCCTACATGCGCCAGTTCTACCTTATTACTCCAAGATTTTTTGGGAGCTTTGGGAGTGTCGGATTGCTCATCTGTCTCCATTGCATAAAAATCTTCTTCATGTTTTTCCCCTTTATATACTACCAAATTGACCTTTTTACAAAGGGATACCTTGGTTGTATAAAGAAATCATTGCACTTCAAATGAAAATACTATTTTTTTTTTAAAGAAAATTATGATTTAAAAATGCAGGCTTTTACACATAAAATATATACAAACATTTAATTTATTTAAATATATTAAATAAACAATGTAATGTAATTCAATGTCTATCAATTATATAAGATACAGTAAGCAGCCTATCATTGAACACTTTTATACTAGCCAATTAATACAGAAATACCATACTTTGTGTCTTGGTCTCAATATGAAATATTTTCATAGTCAACATATTTTATTCTATTTTTATTCTATTTCAAATCATCATCCAACAGTTAAACCCCAATGCAGAATGTCTTATATTAATACACTATATAAAAATATTAAATATACTGTACAAATTAATTATTAATACAATTATTATATTGGAAATTTTAAAAAGATATTGCATATAAATATAAATACATTACAAAAATAATACTTGCAGAACACATATGTTGACCATGCACAGAATATCTAACTTAGAACGCTTACATTTTTAAGAAAATTAATGAATTAGGACCAGGGAAAAGGACTATCACTTTCAAATGATTTATTAATGCATATTTTTAAAATAAAAAATCAACATAGAATAACATTTATTTCTTTTAAACTTTAATTGATATTTTTTATGTTCACTTACCACTTCTGTAATAAGCATCTTATTTCTTTCTTTGTCCAGTTTGGTCTTTCCTGATGATGACCCTCCACCCGTTCCTTTAGTCAATTTTGAATAGTTCCTATCAGTGGGGTGTAAAATAATGTTATTAATATTACTTGAGAAAGGAGGCTGATGTTTCAGTCACTGAAGCCACTGCATATGTAACTGCTCTTTGTTTCGTTTTTCTAAGAACTTCTTCAAATGTTAGTCATTTTATATTTTAAAAATCATTTGAATCTAGGTGATATTTAATCTGTTTTCTTGATTATAAATGACAATAGCCTTGTTTACACAACAGGAGGTCACCGCGATGATTGCGTATATCCGTTGATATAGGCATTCTCCGCATTATGGATCAGTAACTGAGATGATCTACGCAGTTCAGTTTTAATCATGCGACTTCCTGGTACAACCGATAATTTTTTTATTGTGTAGGCGCGCGACTGGAGATCATCAGTGTTACCTATCTGATAGCAAACGGCCGTGTAAACAAGGCTAATAACTGGAAATAAAGAGTAAAATATTACATGAGTCCTTCAGCAAATTCCAACATTGTCCTCTTAAATGGACGATCTGGCCTGGGCCTTTCCCTCATGATTCTGTCATTCACCTCACCTAGACCATGTTCCTGAAGGGGGGGGGGAATTAAAAAACATATACTTTACATATTACAGTGGGTTTATCATCATAAAACTATAAAATTTATATATTTTTTAACTGTTCTCTGCAATTTAATCTACATAATAATTTCATTAACGTATGTATAAAAAATGCTGTAATCCACCAATAGTGAACATTCAGAAATGCTTAAAAAAAATAATATCGATAACGGTGATCATGAAAATTATAAGACGGTGTTTAGTGGGCTGATTATATTCAAAATCAGTCAAATGGTGAGCGCCCCCAGAAGTTTGTTAATGCTGTAAATTGCAAATCCTTTACAATAAACTGTAATCCAGAATCACTTTAAGTTTCTTCCTACAAAATTCCAGACTCAACACACAGTTAAACCCTGTTCAATTCAACTAAGCATAACTGATGAGTTTTGTACTGTGGAAAATGATTTTTAAAAATCTCACAAATTTCTCAGCAATCTTAGACAGAATGTTCATATTGTAGAATCTCCTTCTGTGGTCCTCTTTTGGAAAACGAAGAAACACAATCGGTTTTCGCTCCTCATAAGGGATGTGGTAATAGTTCTTGTCTTTCGTCTCGGGTTTAACAGGGAGTGTCATAGAAACACCAGCTTTCTCATCATCCTGGCTTGCCGACTGCTGCAACAACCCCGCCCCCTCATCATCATCACTACTGTCAGCCTCCTGCACATTTGCAGGTCTTCGTACACTTTTGCCATCTATCTGGTTGCCATGGACACCTGGATATATTCAAAATGTGAGCAATTAAAATTCATTTTTGTAAACAATCTAACTTTATAAATGCTAATCATTCATACTCAGCCTAATAATAATGGGGACCCTTTCTGAAACAAGCCTACCAGCTTAAAGTGTTATCCTCTGTTATCCATTTTTTTCTTAATTGTCAATGTTTTGCTTCTGGGTTTTAAATGATTGTTTGTTTTTTAAAATGTAGATTGATTATTTGTGATATTGAATGGATAACAATACATATTATACTATTCTTATTATACAAATAATTATTTTCTTTTTCATTGTTTTTTAAGCCATATCAGGTACTTAAGCTTCATAACAGGAGATGAGGAAGAGAGGAGAGATGGAAGGACACCATCAAAGCATCGACAAATCTAAGCTTCACAAATTAGGTCAGATTAGCAAAGGGCAGAGCAAGCTGGAGGGAACTTCAATGTTCCAACAACAGGAACATGGATTAAAGTATAAAAAAAGAAACAAATATATTACCAATAGTAAATTCAAATGATATTGGCTTGTCGCCATTTCCCATGTCAATCATGGATGCATCAAACACACTTGCAAAGAAAAAGAAGTCTTCACGTTTTCCAGCAGCATTCTAATAGAAGTATTTCAAAGTATACCAAAAGAAAATTTTAAAAATTTGAGATGCTTATTCAATTCACATTCACAAAAAATGGTTTAATAGTTGAAACCTCATAAAAATAGCATATAATCATAATACACATGAATAATCATACAAGACAAAATATTACACTGGTAGCGTGCTGTGAAAAATTTAACATGCGTATATCAGCTAGATGGCATCTGTGTGGAAGCATTTCTGCAGCACGCATTCTGTGTAGCAATCACATAAAGAAAAATGGGCATTGCAGGGGCTTGAAACAAAAATTTTAGCATGGATCCTGTGTATGCTCACTGGTTGGAGCTTGTAGATCTTTGAGACATGGTACAATCTTAAAGCAATAATTTGAACCATGCCTCTTGAAACAGTCAATATTTGTATACTATAACATGCGCTGACCTCAGATATAGGAAGTGCAGGCTCTACTTCAACACCAATGGCGCCCGACTCAGTTGCACTGTCTGTCATCTCACTTTTCATGGAAAGCAGTATTCGTCCACGGTACATGCAGCCCTCACCGACACCTAAATTGAGGAAGCTGTTGCTGTCCATGCTGGAGAATTGTCTGGTTGACCCATAGAGGTTCACCCAAGAAGGGCCAAATGTCGGTAGAAATCCTATCAACATTAAAAATTGCAAATATTTTAAATATGGCTTAAGCTCTATAATATAGAAGGGGTTTGGCGCAGCGGTTGCGCTTCTTGAAGTCGGAGGTTCAAACTCTCGCTGTGTATTTTGCTTGTTCCTTCGGCAAGGCACTTTACCTACCGGTTCTCTCTCTCCACCCAGAGTACAAGCGGCTACCTGGTATTTACAAACACAAAAATGCACTGATTACACTGCAACATTATGGAATTCTCCCAAGGGACCTGAGTATGTGTTCCATATGTCCTTGATCCAATGGCTGGTGTAATAATGCTAAGCACACAGAAGTCTCTACAATATGAACTAAAAGTCGACAATTATCATTATTAATATATGTGGCAAAGACAAGCCAAACCAGTCACTCGTCGCAAAAATAGATTTTGAGTTATTAATACAGTGTTAGAGAGTAAAATAATAGCTATAAAATGGTAAAAAAATCATTCAAATCGGACATTTCCTTATGAAGTTACAAGCGTTTAAGCACACAGCTGTTTAAAGAACAATATATGAGAAATCAGCTTCGAAGTTTATTATTTCAGGCATTTCTTGTGCAGAAATTATCTTTAAATTCTTAAGAAGTGTTGTTTTAACATTGAAAATGGGGAAAATAACAGCATAGAATGATGTGTACATATATAAAGGTTAGTTTAGTGCAATAAAATAGATTTTTTAAAATTTGACATTCCAGCTTGTTTTGGCCATTTTCTCTGAAACACAATTTGCGACGAGTGACTGGTTTGGCTTGTCTTTGCCATATATTCAGTAAAATATTATCTATTTAAAATTTTGCATCTGCTGTAAAATATTATTCTTCCTTGGAACATGGGAATAGGGGATGGTACTGTAAGTTTTGCATCTATTATTTCAGTAAAGAAATTAGAATTTTTATTTAGTCAAACATACTCCTAAACCTATATTTACATTAATACTGAACACTAACCTTCAGGGCCATCGCATGAGATCTTAGCCAAGTCAATATATGTGGTGCCTATGATGTCATCCATCACGCTATCTTTGTCCTTCAGTTGAACCTTAATACGCCGACACAGCGGTGGAAACAGCTCACTGAATACGATCTGTTCATTCCACATTGGCTCGTAGCGATGTTTCTGTACAGATGTCCGTTGCTATAAATAAACAGGCATCACAAATTTGTAAAAAAAAGTAAAATGCTATCAAATTTATATAAACCATGATAAAAGTTTCAATGCAGTATGTTTGAAGTCCTCATATATTTATAATCGGTAACTTTATTCAAAAAAACTCCTTCATAAAAAAATACATTGTGTAGCCAAAAGCTAAATTGGTATATTTTGTACAAAAGAAAAACAAGAACGAGAAACAGCAAAAACATCACATTAAAACAATACAAAAGCAAACCCAAAGCATCGGTATAAGTTCACTACGTTAAAATTGCACAATTTGAATTTTTCAATTAATTTCATTAGATAAGTGATGGGGCTATTTTAAAGACAATACAAAAAATGAACCCAAACCATCAAAATTTCACAAAGTTAAATACAAATGCAAAATTAAATTTATTCTTCAATTAATTTCATTAGATAAGGGATGGGGCTATTTTTAAAATGTTCAGTCCTCAGGAAATGCATTTCATAATTTCTATGTTTACGAAGTTTCATTGATGACATATTTTTAGATTTTGGGAACCAGTGACTAAATCTTTTATCATTGCTAATTTTTTTAGCAAACTTTTTGCATAATAAAATCCTACGTTGTGTGAGTGATTCCAGCCCAAGTTTTTTGAGAGCATCCTGATAGTCAACATAATTGTTTACAAGAATGGACCGACATACACGTTTTTGCAAATTTCTTTCAAATCGCAAACAGAGGTGCAAGTATAAAAACTGTTACTCTGATTGGGAATCAATACTCCTGTAACCATGTCTCCTTATTATCAGTTGCCAGTTGGATTTCTGTATAGTAAGAGTATTGTGAACATTTTTTCTAGTATATTCAAATGATTCTGTGTTTGTTTTTAATTATAATGCAATAATTTCAGACTTTTCCTGCCTTCTGTAATGTATTTTAAATAAATAAATAAACAAACAAACAAATAAATATATTTAAATTATGAGGCTTGAGGGTAGCCTTTTTATGCTTGTTTCCAGCCCTTAAGGATAGGAAGGCGAATAATTAGGGATGTCTACAACCTGCCACATGTGAAAATGATTCAGCTTTAATCTATTGTTTTGTGAGATAATAATATCAAAGCTTAATCCTATCATTTGCATAAATATCAAGCAAAAAACAGTGAGGCATTTAATCAAACTAGCACATATGAGGCAATTACTGGTCAGCTGTTACTAAAGGTAAATATAGACAATTGACAAAAACAATGATGTTTTTTATATCTTTTGTGATTTAAATTTTTATCTTTATCATATTATATATTTTATGAGGGAGGGGGCAGCTGGCTTGAAAAAGTTATAGTGATTTGTTTGCTTAAGCTGACCATCTTTTGGTCAAATAAATAAACTGAAACTGAAACTAAAATGAGAAAATATCTTCCTAGCCAATTAAGCCATGATTAAAATGCATAAACAACACCTTGTAATCTTTTTTTTATACTCAAATAGAGTATTAATTTTTGCTTTCATCCAATAGTAAGTTCACTTGAGAATTACTGGCTGTAAGTAGGCTATGTGAAGCTTCAGATTCTCTCCATGACACTTTAAATGCTGTCCTCACTATCAATTTATTTTTGTGATTACAAAACCAAAATTTGGCTATAATGTGTCATTACAACATCATATGGACAAATCACAGGTCAAATGATAGTTGGACAGAGTATTATGTGTGTATGGTTGTTTTTAGTCAAGAAAACCAAGAACTCAAATATAAAATTGAAAGGGGGAAATTTTAACAAACAAACCATATGATTCTTTCTAAAAAATATCAAACATACTTGTTCATACAGGACTCACATTAATTAAAGACCCTGTTAATTAAAGACTCCCTCCAATAAAAGATCACCTCAAATTTAAAGATCATTTTTCTGTGGTCCCAAATTAACAAATACCTGTTATCTTTATTGTTCTAATTAGAGACAAAAGCTGCTAAATACCATGGAAACTCCAGTCACAAAAGTTGTCTCTAATTGGTGGGAGACAGGCTGTATTATTTATATTTGTTTTAATATGAAGATGATCAATGGTAATGTATGTAAATTGCTTACAGTTTGTCCTGCAAATGTGATTTCTACATAGGGGTCGACAAGGTCACTGAGTTCACCAGTAAACACTTTCTTGACATTGGCTAACATTCCTGAGTTCATGACAGGCAAGTCTTCCGCTTTAAATATTTTTACGAAGAACTTTGCTAGTTGCCTGTCTGGCGACACTCCCTCTGGTAGGAATAGGTTACTGGAAAATGAATAAAAACAGGAGACATGAATAAACATGGCTCAGAGATTATAAAGTCAGTTTACTTAATAAGGTCTATAAAATAAGAAAAAAAAGACATGGCCTATATCGTTATGATAATGGATTATGGTTTTTTTTTAATTTTTATTTCTTATACACATTTCTTATACCCACATCTCCCTCTATTTGTGTACTCCATTGGCTATGAGTCCAGCAAAGAATTGAATTGAAAATATTACTTATAGTCTGCAAATCTCTTTCGGGCGTATGCACATCGTACCTATCTAAATTCATCAACAAACATACAAATTTGTGATCCACTTGATTTGTCAGACCAATTACCTCATAAGCGTATTGGCGATGATTCTTTCCCATCTGTAGCTGCTCCACTTTCACTCTTTTAGACAGTCTAAGGCAAGCCTCAAAATCTATCTGTTCAACTGAGTTTTTTGTGTGTTGGGATGGGATTGGTACTCTTGCAGTTATTTCATTTTAATCTTTTTTTATCCACTATTACCTTTGAATTACTATGGTCTTTGATTAATTAATAAAAAGCATACTCTGTTGGTTTTGGTTGGGATGGGCTGTACTTGTAGGAAATATTGATCAGAGTGGAGGGTAGTTAGCGCTTTGTAACCGCAAGGAATAAGCACTATAGAAGTACCGAGTAACAAATTTTAGTAGTTCACCTTTCTAAGTCATCATCAAGGTCATCATTTCTATTTTTTTGTGATTTGACTGTGTCTCCTTTGCCTAGCACAGCAATGTCCAGCTTCACGTAGCCCTTGGGTCCACCATTTACATCTTGTGGGTCAATCATGATGGCCCATTTGTGGTAATAACAGTGGTCTATAAAAACAAAAGAAATAATATTTTAAAGAAGAGGAAAGGCCTACAGATTTCTGGAAACCTGCTTTATAGCCATGCACCACTAAAGGCAAACCATACAGCACAAGTGATCTAAATGTAGGAGAAATCATATAAGAGCGATCTCATTTATTGTTTTTGTCGAAAGACAAATTTCCAGTATACATTTCTGTTATATTTGGACAATAACGAATTTGATTTGATTTCAACATAAAATGTATAAAGATGAGTGACACCAATTTACACTAGGCTCATTTGTGTTTATGTTTTGAGATAATAACAATAGTATTATGGAATAGCATCACTGAAGCAATTGAGGTGTAGTATCAAATAGGGTTGTGTCTAATTATGGTGGATGATAATTTTCTTTTTAACCACAAAGACATAAACCAAAATGTATGAATGTCAGAAAGCCTGACTACATTTAACAGAGAGATAGATAACTGTTATTTTCTATATATCTGGAAATTAATTTTCCTTTTTTTTTTCAAATACATTACATAACAGAGATTTATTAGACAAGATTATGACAAAAGATTTAAAATTATGATAAGAAACAGTGTAAATAGGTATCGATGTAAATAATTTGGGAGGGTATAGTGTAAATATTCAGATATGTTTAATTGGACTTGGACTGTCATCCAACAGTACAAAATGTATTGTACAAAATGTACACGTGGTGTTGTTTACAAAGGTCATTTTCAATGATTACATTAATAACAAAGCTTTGTAAAACAAATATGCAAATCAGATACTTTCACAGTTCTATTGTCATGACAACCCTCATAAAATATCACCATTAAATTTATACATAAATAATTACCATACTAAACCGCTTATTAATTTCAGGAATTCAAGGCTAGGAATCAAAATATCCATTGATTGACAAATTCAACTTGAATATGTCATTTTTCAATTTTCCCTTTGTCTTTAGTTCTGTGAATCTCATTGTTAATTTTAAATGTGTTGTTCATATTGCATCATTTATATAATATTTATCTTCAATATCTTATACTGTATTCATTATAGATCAAAAATTTCCAACAAAAATTGAAGCTGTGTATACCTGGAGCATAGTAGATTGTTCCTACATCCAGTTTAAACATGCCTATGACAGTGCCGGAGCGCAGTATGTTTCTTGAATGTAGTGCCTTAAAGATTGGATTAAATTTATTCCAATAAATTATATCAACAAATACAAAACACAATACACAATAATACCGTAATAGATAGATTTATGTGGCGCAAATAAACAAGAATTGTATGCGCTCGACGAAAGGTAGAGGCAACAAAAAAATGGATAAATGAAGCAAGAAAAAAAAAACACCAAGCTAGCACCCAACCCGAAGTATGCGGTTACACTGTCATCGTCAACCAGAGATCTGTGTTTATGTATTGGTTAAGTCTTGATTTTTTCTGGGATCAGGTGACTCCTAATTGTTGTTTTCTTATGTTGTAGGTTGCATCATTATCTTTATAATTATTATTATGTTATTGTTTTTTGTTTAAACACTGCCATTGTTTTTTTTTAATGTATGTTACATATCTTTACACTTACAGAGTTGTTTTTTTTTTTGTCAACAAAGTCAGTATATCATAAAATCAAAGTTTGACTCTAGATACCAATAAAATATTTGGCAAATCATTTAATTGTTTTATTCATGTAATCCACACAAATAATATGTAAAAAATTAATTGAGAAGAAAAAAAATGTGAAGGTAATACTTACAGTGACTTTGATTATTTTGTCAAACATCATTAGTGGTGCTTCATTAAAATCAAACACAAAAAGCTGAAATGAAGAATATAAAAACTTAATATGATTTCAAAGTTTTGTGTTACTATATTTATTCCAAGTGCATGATATTGTAATTTTTATTATTGTTTGGACCACAATAAAAAATGGCCTTTTTTGTCTATTGATATATTTTATTACTTACTTAATAATACTTTAAAATATAATATTTCATTATAAGTGAAATTTGCTAGTATTTTTTTAATCATTTCCAACTGTCTGAGATATGAGAAAAGTCTATGGATATTTCATCAAATCAAATTGAAATCATTGTGTCCTAAATATCAAAATTGTATTGTTGCATTTAAACCCATCAATATGTCTGGGTTGTATAATGAGCAATGTATGATGTAATAAAATGTAAGAATAAACAACAATCTATATCTAGTGAGATAAAGTCTTCAATATCACTACAAATGCTACAGTAGGTTTATTCCTAAATTTATATAACATACTTCATCCCAAAACGGACAATTTGTAGATTCCTTGACACTTGTGAATTTCTTCTGGTCTCCAACTTGAACACAAACTACAGGGTCAATGTTGAGCCCAGCTAGGTTACGAGCCTCTACTACTGTTACATTCACCTGCAAAGGACCAAATTCCAATCATTTATAGCAGCTTCAGATTTGGCAAAATATTACAAGGCTAACTATATAAAATGTTCAGCTGTTTCAAAAAATTTACCATGCTGTACAGTATGCAGGCACTGTGGGTGCACAGGACCTGCTGCCAACAAGCTAACTGCACCTGAAATGATCATACGGTATCATGTTTCCTTAAAATCGCTACACTGTCGCTACAGTGTTTTCAATGCAATCGTTGTACTGCGTAGCAGTCCCTGACACAATCGGGAAGGCTCCCTAATTCGACCGACCAATCAGCATCACTCAAATCTGTTAGTGATAGCATGTAGCGATTGTATGGAAACCAAGCTTTAGTTCAGAGCACAGGCTCCATAGGCACAACAGCTTGCAACAGCACAATGTCTTTAATAGGCAGTCGAATGGGTTATTGGCTATTTTAATCTGATGTCTTTTTCTCTGTGCTGTTTTGTAATTTATTGTATTTATTTGGCAAGGGGGTTTAGGGGATACCCACATCTTGTGCTGGGCTCTCAGCAAATGGTGTCCTCTTGGCACCCCTCTGGCCATTTCCAGATTTGTGATATATGTGCTAAATATGTATTTAAATAAAGTAGCCTACCTGGAAATCTTGAGGCTTGAGTGCATAAACTTCGCCTCCAGGGGGCGGTAGTTTCTTTACATTTGGAACCTCATCAATTTCACTAGCGATGGATGACGTATCATCTGGTATTCCTCCATCCACGCCATTCTCTAACATGCCTGGGTCTGAGTAGGGGCCATTTAAGCCTAAATTACATGAAATTAGTTTTTTCATATTAGTCAAGATTTCATTTATAATAATTAATACTTTTCTTATATGACTTTTACAATTAATAATAACTAATCAATAGAATGTTGTACATTGTATAGTACTGTACAACATTTGAACATTCTGTTAGTGTTTCTATCTCAAATTACTATGTGTACTGTATGTAATTTGATTGATGTTAAAGGAAAGGTGACTATTTACATTTTCACTGGAAAAAGGCAAACATTATCATTGTCAGGGCAATCATACTATAAAATGGACAATAAGGGGATGAAATACATTGTCATAGTAAGGGCAAACATACTACCCTTAACCCTGAAGTATAAAGAGCTGGAGAACACGGACATATAGTCAGGGCAAACATACTATGACAGTCATTAACTTATCATTTCATAGCCATGCCAAAAAGAAATTTAAAAACCACATTAGACCCCTTTGCTACTAAAATGTCAGTTTACTAATTATGGAGAAAATCAGATGATATCAATCAAACACTCAGTATTCAATTTCATAAATTCACATACACCTAATACTATGCTAATACCATTATCATTGTTATGCCAACCAGCAAAAATAATGGGTCTACTCAATTAACACAACAATCAACGCCATGACAATGTAATGCGTAATCAAAGAATAGTAGATCAGTACTCGGTAGTTATTCAAATTTACTTACCCATTTTGCTTTCTTCGTACACACTGATTAAACTGGTGCTGTCGTTTATTCGCCGTTTTTTTTTCCCTTTCATGAATTTTGTCAGTGCACTCATTCGACTAAAATGTAGAAGGAATGATCACTGTATAAAATTAGTAGATCAAAATTGGCAGTCTTAAATATGAGGCTTTACCATCCCAAAAACCAGCGTACTGTCGCTAAATGTTAAACTGAGTTACCATATTAATGTATACTATTATTTCATATTATATTTATACTTTAGTACAGGGAAGCTGTAATACTTTTACTCATAACTTTGGCAATCATAAATCAGACCTATCATTTTTTAAAAACTTTAAATATATGAAGAATATGAATATATTGAAAAATTAATTTTCCTGTCTTGATCACTGACACTGGTTTTGGAATGGCAAGCCACATTATATAAAAACATCCTTGGATGGCAGCCAATGTAAAAGAATAAACATACCACATATGCACATTGATCATTGATCGTCATTATTACAATCATCCTCCGAGAGCAAAGGAATTGTCATGGGTCAAATGAAATAAACAAATGGATCAATGGATGGATTAATGGATGGACGATGAATAAATGACTCAATGAATATAAATATATAATGATAAACTAGAATATTTAAATATTGTTTTAGGTTAGTAAAAGAATAATAAGAATAACATTGTTATATATATCATAATTAGGTGTGATTTCTGAAATTCAGTATTATAAATGCACAAGAAAAATACCATCTGGTGTTTTTCCATAACAATAATTTTACACTTACAAAATGCATGTTGAATACATTAATGGCATAAAGGCCTGTTTAAATTTGTGAAGATACGATAACGATAAAATGCTAAAAAGAAATTAATCATATAGAAAATAAAAGAAATAAGAGAAGTTTTCACACTAGCACGATTCAATAACGATTTATCGTGTATACGGTAACAAATATTTTCACAAATCAAATTAAATTACGTCATAATCATGGGAAAACGATAAAATCATTTAAGTAAGATTTTATCATTTTCCCATCATTATGACGTCATTCCACCTACATGACTGGCGAGTCGATATTTGGCGATTATTTAGTAAGGTGGGACCGCTAAAATTAAAACTACGTTTGAAGGTTTCAGTTATGGGAAGTGGAACAGCAAATAAAGCAGCTGTTCTGTGGTTACGATCAATTTTGATACATTCTCCATTCAGATATGTTGGTGCTAAGAATTGATAACGTTAAAAGCTAAACATCCTAATGGGTAACAGACCCTCCTTCCATCGTCAAGAATATAGTGCCAAATTATAAGTAATTCCTATGATGCCGATTAAGCCAAACCTAATGGTGATGATACCCTTATGACAACATATGGCAACTGGGTATCTCAATCTTACCTAGATGACACCATACATGTATAGTATTCTAGAGATAAAGTAGCATAATTCAGTTGGTTATAAGAGGTGGTATGTGTCTGTGTCCCTATTTCAATTTCAATGAGATGCTCTGTAAAATACACATTTTTAGCACACCTTCTTTTAAAAAAGATATTTAATGTACTGTAAAGCTTTTACTTTCACTTGGCACTGAGCAACTTCATTTTTTGTATAATTACAGTAACTTTATTCACATACATAACATTAAGTAACTATTAATACAAACCTTCTTCTTGAATTAACGCTGTATTGCGACACATTGTCGCCTTTCATGTTTTGAAATGTGTGGCTGTACAAACTGGGCTGGTATTGGCCATCATCATCGAATGCATGAAGGTCATCCATAGAATAGGAAGTTGGGTACTCAACTGGCGCAAAGCTGGTCGACATCCAGTCACCCACAGTGCCATCGGGTGCTTGGTATTCCAGATCGAATGATACAACAATCTGAAGATATAAATATTGATATACCATAGACCAGTAATAGAGGGCCGGATCCACATTGGGTTTATTACTGTATTTATGGAGCATGTTTCGTTGTTTTATAGTTAAAATAAACCTTCTTAACTCCTGACCAGGCTGAGACTATCAAATTTTATTGGACAAAAACAGGTGACATGCCTAAATATGGTCATGATGACATCACATCATGACCATATATAGGCACATCATGACTATATATGGGCATACAACAGTTTTTGTCAAAGAAAATTTAATAGTCTGGACAGAGCTTTAGAATTGCATCTCTTGTGCCTCTTATGTTTGAAATAATATTTCTTTAATTAACATCTTTAGCAAATGAATTAGTCAGCTTTCAATAAATTTTCAAGAAAACTGTATTGTTCCCAATTGGAGCCCAACACCTTTCAATTACCATTCGGTTGCTCTACCAACTAAGCTCCAGTATGAGGCCAATCAATATACACCCTTGGATTTTCCCATTAGGACACATTTTTCTCAGAGTTTTTTTTATAAGATGCAATAAATAAATATAAAACATGGTAATAATACATTAGTAGCCCTTATATGGCGATATACCTCCATCAGTGATAATTAAAGATGATTATAAATTTTTAAGATACATTTCCCTCATATAATTAACTTTAATTATCACAAGAGGAGTTGTTTTCCATACCAAAGTTACTATAATAATGTGATCTAATTTTAATATTTCCGATAAGTTGGAAACAATAAAACATGCCAAGATTGTATTTTAAAAAATGCTTACATCTGTCGGTGTGTTATTGGCATCAACTAAAGGTTCACTAATGCTGACATGGCCTGTTTCTAGTATTTCTTGTAAGACCATCTGGAATCGGCCAATCAAACGATTGCTTAGGAATTTGTTGAAGATGAAAATAGAAACTTCAATTGTTTCATTGGCTGTGATTGGTGAGCCAATTCCCCATTCAAAAACCTATAAAAGGAATGAGTACCATAATGGCTCAATTTAAAATCAAGGTATACTCCACTACAAAAACATTAAATAAACATTATAATATTTCATCATGAATTTTCAATTGGACAAAATTCAAAGTAATTTTCATACAGTACAATGTAAACTTTTATTCAAGAATGTTTAATAGTTGTTTAAATTTGATGACTTTATAGCTACTTGAGACATAAAAGGGCTATTTATTTTTAAAAAAAACATAATCATTAAATCAATTAATCTCTATTTTCAAAAAATAAAAAAAGTAAGCAACTTAGATAGGATTATCTGGCATTATTATTACATAGATGTGTTGATCGATATATAAAAGTACAGGCCTGTATGAAATGCATACACATACCTCATCCCAAATTGCTTCAAATCCAGCATTTTCTATAACTTGCGTTGACTGTGTCACTCCTGTTAATAAAAAGATAGGATAATCAGAATACATATTAAACTAGCATTCCCATTGTAAGGCAAGTTAGAATGATCTCTATGGTTTCAGGGTTGACAAAAAGTTGACAGGCTTCAGTTCACAGTCAACACACGCCATTTCACAGCCAAAATTTAGCCAAACTTTCTTTTTAATATATATTGGCCAAAATTTCAGTAAAATTCTAATCACATTGGCAGATATAGTGGGTGCACTAATTCAAACAAATGGCTTCGACAATAAAAAAGACAAAATCAATCAATAAGCTTTTTTCGACAGTAATGGTGTGCAAACTGCAGGCTTATCATCAGCAAGAATGCACAATCATGGAGGTAAATTTATACATCAATAGCACAATATACTATACACTATTTTTGTTAGTCTTTTTCAAGCAAATATATTGAAAAATATATTTACGAATTCGACCAAAATATTGTTTGACCAGACAAAATTTATACTATGGTCAAATTTGAGGAATTTGGCCGTTAAAATGGCAACCCGGTATATTGTTTTTGATTTTGTATTTTGGTTTTTTGTTTGCATTTTTTTTTCTAGAAGTATTTTTTTTAGAGCTCCAGTCTTGTGTTTCCAGGTCATGATAGATTCTCAATAAAATCTGAAAAACCACAAAGAAATAGGCACAGGATCACAGTACACAGTATTTTAATTTGATAAGAGGTCCTTATGCATCTCCCTCTCTAACTGACCCAGATCAAGCAGTCAACATGTCCACAAGAACAACTTTCAGGCTATGTTCTCACATGGCTGCTAATGGTTACCAGGATCTGGATCCTGCTAACCGTTAGCTGCCGAGCGTCCATACAAGAAAATCCCCATCCCGATACCAAAAATATGATGATCAAATCACTGGCCAATAAGAAACTGAAAATTGTAAACGCGTACGTGATTGGTTTATGATAAAAACGCGCTCAACTTGCTAACTGATAGCGCTTGCTAATCATTAGCGGTATCCGGATACTGCTAACAGTGAGTGCTAACTGATCGGGCATTCTCACGCAGGTGCTAACAATTAGCGCTAACGGTTAGCTCGCGATCTGGATCTGGATGGCTTTTCTGAGAACCAGGCTTCGCCTTTGTTTACCTCTCTAAAAGTACAATACAATATACTGTTTGTCACGAGCACGTGTACTTTCGACATCCTCAACCATGCACTATCTATTAAGTGCATCTTCACAATGAAAAAAAAGACTGCATGGTCTATTTTACATGGTTCCCCTTCAACAAGCTCAAATAACTCAGGCCTAGGCCTAGCATCTTCTCCTGATACCTCCACTGCATTCACTTAGCTAACGATGTATAAACATCTCCTTGATTCAACCAGGGAGTGATTCAACCCATCAACTGATCCATATTCTGCTCTGGACTTGAGACAAATACACACCTACAGGTAGATGTCTCAGTCTGGACCAAGGTGGTATCCTTCCTAGGCGGCCTGCCGTAGTAGGCTAGGCTTACTACCTCCTTGTTCCAACTTTGACCCAAAAAAGGATGTTTTTTCACTGTACTGCAACTTGACTCAACTTCAAGTTGCAGCTTCCAATCCCAAGATTTAGGACATCATACTTTTGCCTGTGTTTTACAAACTCCCTGGGCCCTGGCCTACAGCACTGTTCTGTATTCTTCAAGATCAAGCCTTTCCTAGCGGTGAGTCATGTCACCTGAAACCTGAGTTTCAATGGTGCATGATGATTGGTGTACAGTTGATGGACTTAATGAAACCCTAAATTGTCAAAATTTTCGGGGGCTTCGCCCCCAGGACGACTTTCGCAACCTTTTAATCGAAGCTCGACCACGCCACTTTGCTCTCGTCGGGGAAATCTTACCCCTCGTCGGGGGAACCAGCCCCCCCCCCCCC